GAGGCAATAGTATGGGAAAAATTTATTTCAGCTTTGATGAAGGCTAAATCAATTTGATGGGATAAGACAACTGGAAGTGGAGTATTACAGAGGTGGAGTATTACTGTGTATTTAACTACTCTGGAGTAACCGGACAGATTCCACAACATGATCCTGGCAACTCTGGGCTGATTTTTCTTGTTAATGCTCAATACATCTTTGTGTTCAAGTATCAGTCAAATAATGCTCTCCAGTCCTGTTAGCCTGATACATGAACACAAAGCTCTACCATGTGGTCCCGGAAAAGCTACTAAAATGGAGAAAGTACATGATTTCCTGCTCAATTGCTCCATTGCAAGCTACAATAATGGAGATGTTGATAGCAATAATTCTGTATGGATTAGACTACAACAGAGTGGAAAGCCTTGGAAACCTTAGATCCAAAGTTGCCTTGTTCTTCCTACCTCAGTAAACTTACTATGTGTCGTCTCAAATTACTCATATGCCGTATCCCAAAATATTATTTTCTATATAAACTCTATCCCCAAATATTATTTTCAATATATACTCTATCTCAAAATATTATTTTCTATATATACGCTATCTCAAAATATTATTTTCCATATATACTCTATCTCAAAATATTATTTTCTATTTATACTGTATCCCAAACTATTATTTAACAATAACCAGTGTGCTCCTCCAGTCTGGTTGTCACCATTAGAAAGCAGCAGCATTGCCAGGTGGAGCTGGCTATTAAACGGTGGCTCCTGGAACCACTTAGACAGATGCTGCAACAAATGGATGGTGCTTTCTGAGCTCTGAACTCCATTAACCCAGTAATAAGACTGTCCAATTACACTGTAAAGCAAAGCTCACTGAATGCTGAATTGAAAACCTTTGGTCCTAAAATGTAATGACCTATAATAATAATCATAATCCTTGCATTTGATATAGTGCCTTATCACGTCTTCAAGATGTCTCAAAGTGCTTCACAGAATACACTATAAAGTGAATTGACTATATTTTTGAGGGCGAAAAGCAGCAGCCAATTGCTATCTATACTATGCTAGTAATAAAACACTATTCAATAGTAATTTTCCTGGAACAGTTCATTCTCTTCCTCTCCTCACTGAACCACACAATACAGTAGGCTTTCTATTTTAAGCTGCATTGGTAAATTATACTTCGGTCTGGTTCTCACCTCTGAATCACAAGGTTCTGAATTCAAGTCCTTTGTCACAATCTCGGCTGACACTCCAATGCAGTGCTGGAGGAAGCACTACATCGTCAGAGGTGCTGTTGTTGAGATGAAATGTTAAACCAAGGTCCTGTCGGCCTGTTCAGAATGGTAAAGATCCTATGGCACTATTCAAAAAGAGTTTCTCCTGGTGTCCTAGACATCAATCCTTCAGATTAAACTGGTCATTCATTTTGTGTCTGTGGGAAACTGACTGCTGGGTCTACCTACACATATACAATCGTTACACTTCACAGAAAAATGTGTGAGGTGCTTTGAAACATTATAGGCACTGTATAAAATGCATGGCTGTTTGTGGGACATTGCTGTGTGCAAATTGGCTGCTACGTTTGCCTGCAAAGTAGTCATTATACTTTACAGTAAACCTGTGAAGTGCTTTGACATGTTTTCCTGACATGAAAGGCACTGCATAAAATGTAATTATTATTTTATTATTATATTAATAATCACTCTGCAGACGTAATTTCTAATTGGTTTTCAGTGATGGGTCAGCCAGATCAGTAACAGAGCCAGGTTACATTTGAATGGATGTTACTTTTCTTAACATATTTGAGCTCCTTAAAAAAGCTCCCTACTTTTTCCAGGAGGTTGATTTTTGTTCACCAGGTATTTTTTCAAGCCATTTTTGAATAGTCTTATTAACAGTCTCAGTTGCACTGATGATTATAGGAAATATATTTGTTTCACATTGCCACATACGTCCACATTCAATTTGCAGATCAATATATTTGCTGATTGTTTCTAGTTCTTTATTTTTCACAATGTAATCACTTGGGATAGTCATACCAATAATACTACATGTACAATCTATTTGATTCTTTATGGTAATATCATATTATATCTTATCATTATTATTATTATTAGCTGCTGAATGGCAGTGCGGCACTGTTCCTGCTTCTGGTATGTTAGGGTACAGAGCCCATTAAACTGTCTCCCGCTTCCTGCTTTTCTACCTCCTGATCCACTGGCCTTCTTCACGTCCCCCGCCTTGCCCACCCCACCATTGGGGGCAGACCTTCAGCCACTCTGCCCCCACCTTCTGGAACTCCATTACACAGTCCCTCCACCTCGCCCCCCTTCCTTGCCTCTTTCAAGACCCGTCTCAAGACCCTACTCTTCGACCATGCCTTCAATCGCCCTGCTTCCCCACCCTGCCCGCCACCTTTCCTGATCCCAACCCCCAGCTCACTCTGAATCACTGATTGTCCAGCACCTCGGTACATCCTCCTGATGTGAATGGCCCTATAGAAATTTAATTTTGTTGCTGCTGTTGTTGTCCACAACATCTTTCCCGCACGACCTCTAGCATCTCATCTAATGGCATGTCCACATTTTTCTCCGTAGTTGCAAAGTAACCCCTTGCTTCTTCTCCTGCTACATTTAGGAAATTCACCGACTGCTGTATTTGTGGAAATTTCTTTACATTTGAGGCTGGTGCAAATATTTCAAAATCCCATTCAAATCTTTGCCGATTATGTCTTAAGTTACCGTCTAACTCAATGTTCGCGGTATTTGCACAGATCTTGTCATGGCATCCGGCTCTGCTTCTCCAAGAATCATTTTGTCTTCTTTTATTGTCCCTGTTCAATCTCTTAGCCTTCTCCAATTATGTTCAGTTTTACTTCGGACACCATGTTATGTTCTCCCTTCTTCCCCCTTTTCTACCTCCTCATCCCCTTTTCATTGGTCCCAGTTAATTGGTCCTTTTTTTAAAAAAAGGGGTTTCCAACACAAACCACACACTTGCAGCATCTAGTTTTACAATCAGTGGTTGACGTGATATTAGCTATGATGTGACAATGGAGTTGATAAAGTGCTCCTTAAGAAATTTCTGAGTAGACTTTCATAGAATTAAACAATGTTATGGCACAGCATCAAGACCATTCAGCCCACCAGGCCGCATTGATGTTTTTTTTCCACATGTGCAATCTGATCTAATCCTACTCCATCATAATGGAGTAGCTTGGTGCTAGCTCTATCAAGCCATTAATTATTCTCTCTATGAAACATGTATCTAATTCCCTTTTAGTAACATTATGGTCTCTGTCTGAATAGTGGTATTACAGGAATCATTGTTTCCAATCTTACATCTAAATGCACAATGTTATGCTAGCAATTGTATCCCTTAACATCACAATCAGTTTTTATACAAGTGTTTTTCTCCTCTCTATAAAAGCTTTAACGACACAAAAAATTACACAGAGAGAGATCCACTTGCAATATCTGGGCTCTGCTCCATCCTGCTAATTGTCAGCCACCCACTCACATCAAACAAGGAACGAAGATGCAACGTAACCATTGCTTTAGTAACATTTCCACTGTGCTCAAGGGGATGTCTGATTTCCTCTAAGTGTTAGCTGGTGATGGAACAAACTCATTGTGAAAATCTAATGGCACAGAGTTGGTGATGCATGAAATACCCACAAAGCTGTATTCAGAATCCTACCATGCATCCAGTTACTTCCACTAGCTGATTATCAGCAGTTTGCCACATTCAATGAATGGAATGCAAACTGTCTTCACTTTGTTAAACTAAGTTTACATTTCAGAAAATAAATGTACCTGAACATAATAACAAAACTTGTAAATAATTATCCTTGCATTTGATGTTGTAGTGCTTTACAGGTTGGGAAAAGGATTCAAAGTGCTCACCGGATTTACTGTAATGTGTAGTGGCAGTGTATCTTGCAGACAAATAATACAGTCAAATGCACTTGTGAGCTTAAAAAAGTCTGTCTGGTGATAATTATCACATTGTTGCAAAATATGGTTCCCCTCTCCCCCCCCATTCTCGATAGTGTGACAGCCATTGAAATATTGGCTTGAGTGACATTAGCTTCGCTCTCATTTTTGGTTGCTGTTAACTGCATTTATCAACAATGTGATGATTAGCATCAGTGAAAAGGAACACTTGAACTTCAAATCCAACTGGAGAACATCTCTTAACCTGAAGGGAAAAGCATCAGCTCCAGTGCAACTTGCAATAGAGCTATTTTTGAACAGTGCCAAACTGAGACCCCCCCCAACCTACTCGCACACCGTGAGCAAACATGGCAATCAGCAAGACAATCACCCACTCAAACCATTCCCATCTCAGTTCCTCCAGCCCAAACCTCCCAACTAATAGAAAACAAAGAATGTAAAACAAGCTAACTAACTTAACCGATAAAGCCACAATATCACAATATCTTAAAGGTTCCCTCAGCCTTATTTTGATGTGGTCACTTCCCAGTGTGAAAGTGAGACATTCAAATCTGGTTCAATTTGCAGTCTGTGCTGAGGTAGCTGTAGGGGTCTTAGAACTGCTATAAATACCCTGGTGTACTAGGATGGAGAATGAATGGTGATCAAAAGAGAGCGGATGGGACGAGACTGTTGAAGGATTTGAACTTGAGGCAAGGATCTTAAATTCGCTATGCTGGGGGATGGGGAACCAGTGGAGCTGAGTAAGGATGGAAGTATTATTCTCACAGAGGACCGGACAGGTCCCTAATGCTCTTGTAGCAAAAACTGAAGTCTCCTGAATTTCCTATATATTTTGGCCCTATTTTGAAATGTCAATCCACCAAATAATATATACTATAATATTCCTGGCATTTGATGTAGCGTCTTATCATGTCTTCGAGATGTCTCAAAGTACTTAAAATAGCGAAGTAATGCATTGTAAGATCACAAAGGTTGCCATATTTCTCTTTGCCAACATTCACAGCTGTCAGTTATTGGATGATCTACAGATATAGTGAGCAAACATGAAACATACCGTGAAACTGTTGTTGACGTTTTTGGTACTTGATTCAGCTACACTCGCATCAGAGAGATCAACTTCATCGAATATAAGGGACTGTGAATGGAAAAGAAAACATGAGTTATAAATAAGAGCAATGCAAATCACATTGAGGAATAGCATAAGAATTTATATTTATAATGCGCCTTTCATATAAAAGAAATGTCTTGAAGGACTACATATGGATAAATTTGGGGAAGGGTAGGAATAACCCTCAGTAAGGAGGATGGGAATACGAATAAATAGAAAATGAATAGGCTTGTTTTCCCCACTTCCGTGCACTAATTCTGGTCTAAAATTGCAGAACTTTCAAATATCCAAACGATTTGTAACAAGTGAATCCCATGGCTGACTTGAACACCAGCTCCACTGAAAGTGGAATTGAGATCAGCGTTTAAGCAGGTGGTACGCCCGTCCGATGTGAAAGGCGCTATACAAATGTAATTTGCTGTTGTTGGTTGCAACACATTTGGAATTTGCTATTTACAAATCCTTTTAAGATTTCCACAGTTCATTAATCAATATCTATTTTTTTTGGTGAAAAAGTTAATTGGTAAAAATAACTCTTTTCCCCAAAATGTAATTGTTAAAATGCAAACTTGCCATTTTTCTTATGCGGGACAGGGGAGTTGTGACCATGTGCGCACAGCTGAAGACCAGTCTGGCTGCAATATCAGTCTTGGGAATGTAGGACCCTAGAAATTTACAGCATAGAAAATGCCATTCGGCCCATCATGTCTATGTTGGCTGCCCTCCCCCATTCCGATCCCCAGCTCGGGTCCATAACTCTGTCTGTCCAGCATCTTGGGATGTCCTCCTGACGTGAAAGGCGTCCTGCTCCAAAATAAATCCCAATTTTCACCAATATTTTACTTGGGAGAAGTTTTTCCCTCCCCCTTTGATTTTCTCCATGTTGTTGACAGAAAAAAGTAGACACAAATATACTAGGATTTTTATTTTGTGAATAAAAATAGAATGCTAATGGTCTGGTCCACTGAATTGGCATAAAAGGCGAGGCAAGTTTCCAGAAAACAAAATCGAAAAACAAAATCAGCAAATTCAGAATTTAAAATTTCAATTTGGTGAATTTTTAATGACAATTTGGTGCACTATCACTGGTACGCCCTCCAGTTGTTACCAAGAAGCTGTTTGGGAAAGTACAACTAAACTGCTCAAAGATTAACGTACCCGTTAACACATATTGAATGAAATCTTTCCAACACATCCAAATTTAAATTCAGACAATTTAATGCATTTAAGGAATGAAAAACATCTGTTTTCTGAAACCAGTGGAGGGAAGAACTGCAAACTGTTTTCACTCAGAGTAGTCCTGTGGAGTCCTGTAGCTCAGTGGTTAGAGCACTCGCTTTGCAAGCGAGAGACCTGAGTTCAATTCCAGACAGGGCGAAACCTTGGGCAAGTTTCCTTACTCCACACAGAGCCTAATAATAATCCCTCCAAAACCAAAAACAATAATAAATTGGTCATTTTCCATCCATGACTGTTTGTGGGACATTGCTGTGCGCAATTGGCTGCCGCGTTCGCCCACAAATATACAGTCAATTCACTTTACAGTGTGTTCTGTGAAGCGCTTTGGGACGTCCTCCCGACGTGAAAAGCGCTATATCAAATGCAAGGATTATTATTATTATTATTATTAAAAGAAAAATTTTATGAAAATTCAAAATGAGTAAAAAGCTAATCTGTCCAATGAAGCTCATCCCTTTTGGTTGATTTATTTTCACATTATGATATGTAATTCTCAAATAAAGAAGACGGCTAGCATTTAGTCTAGGTATAATTCTTCATAGCATGCCCAAAGTGTCATTCATTTTTCTATTTTACCTTTGATGTCACCTGACAGATGTTAAGGGATTGTTTCCAAAAATCACAATCTGCAGAGGATTTTCATGTTCCGTTTTCAATTGTTGGACTGTTGCAATTGGTCTACTGTAATGTGGTCTCAAAACAACAGTGATTTTTTTCCCCCTTATTGAAATTTTCTTAGTTTTCTTCCTTGTGAGGTATAGTAGTAATGTGCAGAGAAAAACATATTTTGCTCCCTAACTTGTCCTAGATCTATTTCCTCCCACGCCTCTCCTATTGTTGCTTTGCCAATGAACTGTCCTTCCTCCCTGTGAATCAGTTCTTAGACTTCAGTCAAAGCAACATCCTTCTTACCCCCACATGGCCCAACCAGGAACTTAAAGTGTGACACATTGTAGGCATAAACGTGTATCCTACCACCTCTTCCCCCACAAATACACACACTCACATAGACACATATAACAATGATGGTGTTGTTCACTCATTATCATAGAGCTTCTTTCTGACTGTAAATGTAACATCAGTCTTCTTAGGATTGATGTTCCAATGGTCCATAAATTTTCAGGTCATTTCCAGTGTGATGGAAACCTCCCATTATAAGCTCCAACTCCCATGTAACAAATTAATTGAAATTAGTTTCCTAAATCATGCAGTTGTCCATGTACACAGACAATGCTATAACTCATCCTAGTAGCCATTCTTTATGTGTTATAAGACATCAAGTGCTGTGCAACTCTTTTTGAATACTTGTGGGGGCAAATTCCACCTTGGTCTAGGTTTACTCTTGTATAAATGTAGCATTTTGGAGTTTGACAAATTGTTAAATTCAGTCTTTATTTTGAACCTGGAGTTTTGCAAGCTCTTTTCAAAACTGTAGAAAACCAACTTAAATCTGAATACTGAGTGCAATAAATTGACAATTTCTAGACTCACTAACATGCTCGTTAATATTAATAAGAGTAAATCTAAACCCAAGTTTCTCCCTAGCAATGTCTTGGTCAGCAGGTGATAATTAGGAACAGGAACCCTGCCTGTGCTAGTGATCTCTCTTTACTTTTAGGAAAGGAGAAAAAATTAGGGGAAAAAAATCAAACTAGTTTTGCAATCTCTTTCAAATCACGTATTCAAAATGTTGAAGCTCTGCTTCAATTTGAATCTCTAATTTCTAAAGACTAATTTGAATGTTTAGGGCATCACTGTTCTAAACAGACTCTCAAGGTAATTGTTTCTATTGCAACCCAGATGATGAATACTCAACATGATCACAAATGAAAAGCTCTCTTGTGTATTCAATGATAACAAATTCAGTCTTCATTTGACTAAATTATGCCATTAGTAAATATATGACATAATGAGCTAGAAAAAAATTTGTTAAGAGATCATTTACCCACACACACTTGAGATAATAATAATAATCCTTGCAATTGTTATAGCTCTTTTCACGTCTTCTAGACGTCTCAAAGCGCTTCACAGAATATACTGTAAAGTGAATTGACTGTATATTTTGTGGGAGAAAGGTGCTATATCAAATGTAAGGATGATTATTATTATTATATAATAGGTACATATTAAAAAAAACAAAAAGATCAACTAATATACTCTCACAATCAGAGTCCCATAGCATAGTGGTTAGCGCACTCGCCTTGCAAACAAGAGGACTTGGGTTTCATTCCCAGGTGGGGCGAAACCTTAAGCAAGTTTCCTCACTCCAAATGTTTACCTAGCAGTAAGTAGAAACCTGCTTATTAGTCATTTGATGGATTGCTTTCCGGGATAATGGTTTGTGTGTCAATCTGTCGCAGTGGTAGCACTCCCGCCTCTGAGTCAGAAAGTTACGAGTTCATGTCCCACGTTGGGGCTAATAAGATGAAACTCCAATGCAGTGCTGGAGGTATGTTGCATTGTTGGAGGTCCTGTCCTTTGGATGAGACATCAAACCACCTGCCTGTTCAGGTGAATGTTAATTGGCACTATTTGAAAAGTGAAGGCAGTTTCTCCCAGTGTCCTTGCCAACAATCACCCAAAGTAAAAAAAATTGCCACTCATTTCATAGCTGTTTATGCGACATTGCTGTGCGCAACTAGTTGCCAAGTTTCGCCCACAAAATACACAGACAATCCACTTTACAGTATTTCCTGTGAAGCGCTTTGAGATGTTTCAACAAAGTGATAAGGTGCTATATCAAATGCAAGGATTATTAATTAAGGTCTGTAAATTTACCATCCCAAGGAAAATGTGTTACTCACATATCTGTCATCGCTTAATACCACTGGATCCCCAACCCCCATTGGATCAAATGTCCTCAATTTCAAAGACCTACATATGCTTGCCTCACCCTGCCTCTTTAACCTCCGGCAACCCAAGACTCAACAACTACCTACGCTAGGCAAACATCAGTCTACTTCGCAATCCCCGTCCCCCACCCTACCATTGAGTCCTTTCGCCTTGCCCTTTCCTTCTCTGCCTTAAAGCTCATCTTAAAATTATTCTGTTTGGCTACACTTTCAGCCACATTTCCTTCCTTTTAAGGGCTCTGAAACGCTACCCTGCGTGGAGGCGCTATATAAGTGCAAGTTGTTGCTGTTGTTGTTTCCCCTCCCTAGCTGGGCTCCCAGTCAGTTGTGTGAAGCACTTTGAGATATCCTCCTAATGTGAAAGATACTGTATTAAGTGGAACAGACAGGTCTCGGCACCTCTGTTGAATCTAGTTTTAGTGTGACTAACACCTTGTAATGAGGGGTCACATTTTTAAACATGTGCGGCTGATATCCACACTATATTCAATGCAGCTCAATAGCTTGAAAAAGAAGAGATGACACGGAATTGACAATACCTTAAGTAGAGATCCATTGTGAACCAGCCCCAATTACAGTCATGTGTGTCTTCAAGCACGAACAGTGAAATCTGCTTATAAAATTAGGCACTGCGCCAGCTCTGGTGCTTTGCTCCGACTGCACAGGAGGTGTTGCAAAAATCATATTATGGAATTGGCAATGTTTGAGAATAAAGTAAATCATAACCTATCCTATAATTATCTTATTATAGCACAGTGCATTGGACATGCTGACACACTGTGTTTTAATGTCCCTACCAGAGGAAATGTATTTATGCAATAGGGAAATCCTTTAAGATGAATGCACTAGCTTACAACCAAACATACTGCTTTTATACTACCCCTTTTGTACTGGACAAAAAAGGGAGTGAAAAGATAAATGTGTTTAGTCCAAAAA